GGGGGGGGGTGGCATGCCTGCGGTGCCACTGACATGAATTGCACCGCCATGCACCCTCCCTTCCCAGAACACAGCCCAGCCTGATCTATGCAATCCAGTGCGTTCCGGGCCCGGACCGCCGTGGAACGCACTGGATATGGTGTGACTGGGCCCTTAGTCCTTCTGTTCTCTCTACCAGCAGTCATTTGGCAGCCTTCTAATGTAAAAACCCAGAGCAGGTGCACTGGGAGGAGGGGAATCAGGTGCTCTATTATGAACCTTATGGATGAATTGCTCCACAGTGCATACATCAAGAGAGGTCAGTGAGGGCTTGATTTATAGCCAATAGCTAATTGTCTGCTTGTTAAGAATGTGCAAATACTTGAATGTCTATAGCCTGGCCACAGATTGCTTTTAAGATGATGACATTTACATGTGTAGTGTAAATCGTCAACAACCACAGAGCTGGTTTAAAGTAGTAATAAACGATCAATTACATTCAGGTAAACCAAATCAACATTTCCAAATTTAGTATTTATATTGTTCTTAAGCACTTACAGTTTCTAACTTTTAAAACTGCTGGCTCCGGTCAGGGAGCATGCGTGCGGAGTGCATCACAGGTTACAAGGGACGGTGCAGTCTCCATCTGCTGTCAATCAATTAGCTTAGAAGAGGGTGGAGTGGGAGCAGGGGAATGGCTTGCCATGCTAAGCTCCGGGGCCGTCTGTTTGTGCTGACTGGCACAGTGTAGGGATATTCAGCTATAGCTCTGGACGGGAAGGGTCACTACAGCAGGACTACAAGGCAACATAGCCACCCAAAAACCGGAAACCCGGAGTAGCGATCTTTACAGCAGCTCAATTAAAGGAGAACTATGAGGGGGGGGTGATTTTCACTCATTTCATAGTTCTAGCCGACCTGTGACAATGAGACTGTCACAGGTCGGCTCAGTAGATCGGGAAGTGAGCGAACACATACCGGCGTTCGCTCACCTCTCGATCCTGTCACGGCTCTCTGCCGTGACAGGGGAGGGGCTGGATTCCCCCCTCCCCGCTCCGATCCGCCAGCGCTGACTGGTGGAACAGACGGGGGAGGGGGCGGGTACAGCTGGCTCTGCCTTTAGATAGGCAGAGCCAGCTGTCAGTCACGCAGCTGGGCGGATCCCGGCACAATTGTCGGGATCCGCTTCAGCTGCGGCGTCTCAGTATACCGCGAGCTGTAGCCTAGGGTGATGGGAGGACGCTAGTTTGAGTCCTCCCGTTACCCTAAGGAGAACTATGGGGAAAAGACTTAACCCCATAGTTCTCCTTTAAAAAGCAACAGCCCAGGTAACTGCTAATAAAAATGTAGGATTTAATTATATGTGAAGACTTACGTGATTTTTTCAAACACCCGGACACTGGTGTCGCTGGCCAGGGAAGTGATGATACCGAAGAGTTCGGTCAGAATGGAGGGAAGCAGGAATCGGGAAATGGTGTGCACCGAACACAGCTGGACAGACGGGCAACCTGATCGTGAATACAGAAATATAAAGTATATCAAGAGGATTTTATTAAATAAACAGTCAAACGTTATTTATTTGTTGTTTCTCTGGTATGATGGGATCTAGTTCCTGCAATTATATAACATTATCCCATTTCATAAAAAACATATACGCACTCCACTGCATTTCTCACTAAACCACAACAAGCTTTACTGATGCCAGAGATTCACTCCGTCAATCGCGACCTCCTATGATTAGGACCATTGTGTGAACAGCGTCAGTGGGTGGAGTGACCTCAGATGGGGGAGAGAATGTCTGTCACCATACAGCGTTGTAACCAGTGTAGATTAGGTAGGTGCTCGTAGTGACCACTATGGATGGCACCGTGCAGAACCCCAGAGATGTGGAGATAGGTCACCAGCACTCCAAAATGCAAAGAAAATATATAATTTACCGTATTTGCCGGCGTATAAGACGACCCCCTACTTTTTCCTGTTAAAACATATGTTTTGGGCTATAATCGTCGTATAAGACGAGTATAGCCCAACATAATGTTTAAATGCACCCACTAACCTCCTTGGCGGTATTCCCGAGTGCAGGGTTAATTTTCAGTACCATAAGCGGTAACCCCCGAGCCACACTCGGGATTACAGTCTCTTACCTTGTCCACGATCCCCGCTGTGTCCTCCGTCTTCCGTCCCTTGCGAGCGTCCGCGTCGCAGGGGGGGGGGCGGAACCGGTGGCCATTTTAAAAGTTAAAAAATAAAAATAAAAAATAGAACAAAAAAATTGAAATAAAATCATCAGACCGCCAGGGAGGCTAATCTGCCAGCCCGCTGGATGTGCGGTAATACTGTACGTACGCTAGCTTCGGCTACATACAGTATACCGCGCTGAGCCAATCACGGCAGGCTTTGTATTCATTAATACAGGCTTTGTATTCATCAATACAAAGCCTGCCGTGATTGGCTCAGCGCATAAGACGCATAAGCGTATAAGACGACCCCCGATTTTCGGGGGATGTTTTTAAGTCTAAAAACTCGCCTTATACGCCGGCAAATACGGTATTGCAAATATAGTCACATGAATGAAAATAGCCATTTTCATTCATGTGACTGTATTTGCAATAAAATCGCGAGATTTCAGCTAAAAAAATCGCTCAAACATCAGCTCAATGTAGCTCGTCCAATGCATTTCAATGGAGCTGTTCACATCTCACAGCTCAATGTCACCTGTAGCTTGTTGTCGCTTGAACATGACCCATTTTTCATCGGATTTCGTGCGATTTGGCCCCAATAGACTTCAATGGTGTAGCTCAATGTCGCACAGTACCAGCGATTTTGCTGCGCTACATTGTCGCACTACAGAAGTGTCACTTTTTGCACAGAAATATAAGCAGGGACATAAACATGAAAAGGAATTATGTGACATCAAGACCGCTTTTGATTGGATACAGCCCAATGTAGCAGCTACGAAGTCCATGCCAAAAGTAGCGCTACATAGCGCGACAATATGTGCGCTGTAGCTCAATGTCTCTTAAAGTCGCTCGGCTCAAATCAGCGCTGAAAAAGCTCAGTGTGAACGGGGTCATAGAGTTGATTATGTAAAATTCAGCTTGAACTATTGTCTGTAAAACAAACAAAAAATGTCAGCAAAGCAGAGCGTTATAGCCTCGGAAATATGCATCAGGGAGACGAGAGCGCCACCTTCTGGGTGAAAATGAGACTATCAAATATTTAATATTGACCTGACTAAAATAGAAAGTCTAAACATAAAAAAATATATACAAAACCACTAAAAATTATTTTCAGTTGTGGCTAAACTTGGCTTTTGGGGCAGAAAAATGGCAGCACATTGGACTGAGACATACCGAGCTGATTCATAAAGTTCATCCACTGCAGGCAGGTGTGACTATATAAAGGGTGCAGGGTACCCACGTCGCCCTCCTCTAGCTGAGCCTGGCGTTTCCTGCGTAGATAAAATGATGTCACTGGGGTTGGTAATGACAGAACGTTATGGATTACACTACAGCAGACAGTTCAGATAAGACACCTCTGCGCATGCTCCAAGCTGATCCCAGGCCGGTCTGAATAACAGGGCGCTTTAAGGCTCTCCGTCTTATGTCTCCGCCTCGTCCTCGGCTCCTCTGTGCGTTCGCTGACAATGTCGTCTGTGGTTTTCGGGGGGCCCAACTCTGCATTGTCTGGTTTGCTCTGAAATTAGAGATGACGACAGATGCAAATAGGAAATGTGTCTATCGAACAGAGGAAGAAAGACAGCCTGTTCGTAGGAGGGGCTGGATACCGATATTCGTTCTCTGCAGGACACGGCGGAGTTTGCTTCACATTACCACTCGCAGTTTACATGGGCCATGCTGAGGAGTCTATGGTACCCCACAGCGTGCTCACTGCATTACGCTGAGAACACTCTGTGACTTGGGAAGAAGCCAGTCACATGACTGACGGGTCATGTGACCAGCATCTACTTTGCCCAGCACTTTTTCTTCCTGCCTGTGAAGGTTCTCATTCAGCCAGGCCATGTAAATCTGTAAAGAACAAATCAAGGCAACTGGACTTGCAAAACGTCTTCAAGAAAAAATACAGCAAGTCCAGTTGCCTTGATTTGTTTTTGGAAGATATTGCTTCAGAGTCCCAAAGCAAGTGGCGGGTAATGTACATGTGTAAAGCCCATTGCTGCGTTATATAAATGTGCCGATCTCGAAAGCAGCTGTTAGATCATACTGCCGCTTTATAAATGTGGCCCCCGAGGGTAACTAGCACATTGATTTCTGAACAAGTATTTATTTCAGGTATTTTATATAGCGCCGACAATTCACGCAGCACTTTACATAGTTGCACATTCACATCAGTCCCTGCCCTCAAGGAGCTTACAATCTAAGGTGGAACACTGTAATAAACGGTACACAAGCTAAGAAGAATCCCTGACGCTGGGACTTGCAGCTACCAAAAGGGAATTTATTTAAAGGACAACTATACTGGTTTGAGGACACAACTGCATACAATTGCAAATTCATGCAGAAACCGATGCCTTATGTGTTGCTCTAATCTGACCTAACAGAGTACCAACCTTTCGGATGTACAATGTGGCCAAAAGTAGGTGGAAACCTGACCATCAGCCCCTATCAAATGTATGTGGACAGATTTAGGTGTTAATACTATAGTATACATACACTGAGTGGCCGGATTATTATATACACCGAGTGGCCGGATTATTATATACACCGAGTGGCCGGATTATTATATACACCGAGTGGCCGGATTATTATATACACCGAGTGGCCGGATTATTATATACACCGAGTGGCCGGATTATTATATACAAAGTGCCGTGTCAGATTCCTCGCATCACCTTTCAACATCTCGTGGAGTCACGAGGCGGCCCAAGGAAGTACTGATGGGGTGGTCACAATAATCTGGCCACTCAGTGTATATGAGCTTGTTGGACATCCCATTCCAAAACCGTGCCCATTAATATAGATGCCTGCCCTTCCGTTTGCGTTTATAACATTCCTCACTCCTCTGAGAAGACTTTCCACAGGATTTTGGGGTGTCTGGGTGACACAGAGTCACAGAGATCTCATCCATTGGTTCTGAGGAAGGAAGCGTGTCCTCTGAAACGCGTCAACAATTGAAAAGGCTATGCAGTTTGTTCAGGGGGGCAAGACTGGTACAAGACAACAGAAGAGCAACAGTGCAGTGTCAGATTCACCTTTCATCATCTCGTGGAGTCACGAGGCGGCCCAACTAAGTACTGATGGGGTGGTCATAATAATCTGGCCACTCAGTGTATATATTTTGACAATTCTTCTTGTACAACCTTGTGATAACAGTTTGGTGAAGGTCCTTTTCTGTTCCAGCATATTTGTGTCCTGTGCACAAAGCCAGCTCCATAAAGACATGGTCTGGCCAGTCTGGTATGGAGGAACTCGAGAGTCCTGCACAGAGTCCTGACCTCAACCCTACTGAACACCATTGGAATGAATTGGAACTCTGATTGTGAGTTAGGTCTTCTCATCCAATATCAGTACCTGACCTCACCAACGGGCACAAATTCCCACCGACTCCAAAATCTGGTGGAACTGCTTCCCAGAGACGTGGATGTTGTTATAACCTCAAAAGTGGGACCAACTCTACATTGATGCCCATGGTTTTGGTATGAGATGTCCAACAAGCTAGATGTATTGGTCTGGCATCCACAAACTTTAGGCCATATAGTGTTAATAGAAGTAACTGAATCTTGTGCCTGAGTGCAAACATTAGGCATTTGATGGCACAACGGCAGCACACTTTCCTGTATTTAGAGATGAGCCTTGGCTTGGTGCAAGTCCAGTGCACCCAAGCTGGCTCAAAACTGTAACCAACACTACCCTCTCCCCGCTCAACCAGTGGCGTCAGGGGTATTCTTCGGCCCTTTGTGAATAGTGTATAGGTGCGGGGCGGAATATACGCCTCTCCACACCTGATTGGGCTGGGAAGAGGGGCTGGCGGTAACAGTTTTGAGCAGGCTTGGGTGAACTCAGGCGACTTGGGTTCACACCAAAATGTAGTAGATCCCATCAAGGGCTTTGTGTATGTGACATCATGTTCAGTCAATAAAAAAGATTGACTGCTATCCACTAACAGAGTGTGAGTGACTGTATGGTATTTTGGGTTCACACCAAGCCCAGGCTCATCCCTACCTGTATTTTGGATTGCTCAAATAATAATAATACATAGATTATTACTTTGAGCAAGAAACTTGCTGTTGGGACAACGTCGATCACACTTTTGTAACAAAAAATGCAAACTAGAAATCCGGGCAGCTAAAACTGAGTGCGAAAAGCATATCGCCGCAGATAGTAAAAAGAACCCCAAAAAATGTTACCAATATATTAACAGTAAAAAGGTGAGAAAGGAGCAGATAGGCCCAATAAAGGATGGAAGCGGGAAGCTAGTCACAAACGACAAGGAGAGGGCCGAGGCGCTGAACGCTTTTTTCTCCTCAGTATACACTCGGGAGGGAAACGGGTTTGACACAGAGGACCCGTTCTGAATTTGAAGACACAGGAGGTCATTGGCTTGACACTCCAGGACTTTCCTCAGTTTACCTTACTCAAGACTGCTTAAGAGGGCGATTATACTCTCCAGTGAATTCCCTGACAAATAATACTACAGAGGAGACTGCAGTGCGATTTTCTCAACTCAACTATTATTGTTACTCCGTAATGGTATTTAAATGGCTACTACAAAAATCTATTTCACGCATCGCAAACTTCCTAATGCAGACGCTACAGAACTACAAGTAATGGCTGGTCGTTATGGCCATCCTTGTGTGTGTCTATGTCAGGAGATAATAGACTGAGATTCCCTGTTTGTATTTAGAACCTCAGATGGTCTATTGGAGATGTAACTACTCTGTATACTGGCACGGAGTGAGTTTATTTTTGGGGTTTAGGGTTTTTGCAGTGAAAACAGTTTGAGGCTCATTTCACATCTGTGCAGTGTGGAACCAAGTGCTAAAACACGTTAGTGCAACACATATCAACGCACAAAACGGCACTGTTCATAATGAATGGCATCCTGATACAGCCAGTGCACAATAAGGAACATAAGTTTAAGTGAAACACAATGCACAAATGGGAAACAACTGTACGTTGTGATGCTCTGTGTTGACAAAAATGCTCCAGGTCCTGTAAAACCTGCATTGGGGTGAGTTTCGGCAGCCCAACTCTATTCTTTTTCCTTACCAGCATATCCCAAAAACTTCTGCGCCCGGACTTGCTGGGCGGAGTACTTGGATCTGTGCTGGATGGGGAGGTTGACGGCGGAAGCTGCACTGGAGATGGGCGAGACCTGTTCGATGACTGTGCCAAGCCCTTTATATCAGGTAGCGATTGGGAGGGTGCCTTTCCTGTGAACATAAAGGAAAAATAGATCACACACAAGATTCAACATTTAAAATCAGATTAAAGAAAAGGCGTTTTGTCTTCTTTTACCATTCATGGACACTTCCTGTTCTGCTGCGCTGACCAGGTCCACACACAGGGGCATCTGCAAGATGTGGAATTCAATGATGACATCACAGAGTGCATGACGCAATGAGTTGGCGAGCCGCTCGGATAACTGTGAGGAGCTAATGTTCCCTTTCTCCCAAACATCGAAGCGCACCAAGGTCAGAGGCGCTGAAAGAGGAGAGGGAGAATTATATAAATAAGGCAGAGATCACATTGAAAGCCACAGGGCCATCAAACCCAGAGAGTCTACCTGAGGTGTCGGTGGCGGGGCCCGGTGTAAACTTGCTGACTTTAGTTAGAGACTCGAATGTGCTGACGCTTAGTAGGTGGGAAGTCGTAGAGGGACACACAAGAGGTGGACCGGTCCTCTCGCCATAAGCCTGTGTCACCAGGGCGCCATGCTGATCCACAAAGGAGAGAGCTATGCAGGCGATACCTGGAGGGAAAAGATATGTGCTTATTATTACCACTCCATGGTGTTGTAAAGTTATCAAAGAGACCATATACAAATATACACACACAGACCTGAGGCATCCCGGATTCCCATCTCTTCAACTGTCCCTTACCTCTTCCAGCAGGGGTCCAGTAATGAACCAGGGAGCCTGGCAAGTGATCATGTGACCCGGCTTCCTGATTGGATGGGAAGCTTTGGCCATGCTCCCTCGCAGCTTCCCAGGCACCGAGGACCGTGGCTGTTATGTGAGGAATAAAAGTGGCAAGTGCTGCTGCGCTCTGTATAGCTGAGTCGGTCACAGATAGATCTTTGTGATCTCCCCACTGGCTCAGTGACTAAAAACACAGCACCCCCTGTAGCTGTTTCAGTGTCGCGCACAGGGCCATTAGGGTGTGCCTAGGCACACGTGGCACACCCTGTGCACACGCCTATGCATGGCACCCTTTAAATGTATGCCAAAATCTGGAGGCAGACCAGTCTAAAATGTAAAAAACATAAATGTAAAAAATTACATGTGGTCCTTCCAAAATCCATACCAGACCCTTATCCTAGATAGGGGTCTCGTATGGAATTTTAATTGGGGCGTATCGAATATGCGCGTTTGTCGCACGTTTCGTGACGCGCGTTTTTACAGCGGTTTCCGAGGGATACTTGGCTGTATCCCAATGGAAACGCGCGACAAAAACGCAGCAAAGAAGCTCATGTACCTTTTTAGGCGTAGGTCGTTTCGTAGCGCGTTCAGACGGGCAGAAATACGGCAAGGTGTGAACCATACCCATAGAAAACAATGGGATTTTCATGTTTGAGCGTTTTGTAGAGCGTTGAACGCGCTACAAAACGTACAGGTGTGAACCAGGCCTTAAGGTCAGATTCCCCCGTTCACATTAGAAATCCCCTAATATCAGAGCCTCCACTTAACATCAGACTACCCCTTTACATCAGGAGCCTTCCCTTTAGAAGCCCTTACTTTCACGCCCTCACATCCCTTCTCATAGTAGGAGCCCCTTTTCACTTTAGAAGCCCCCTCCTTCCACATCAGTGTTCCCCTAATTCACATTAGGAGCCGCCTTTCCCATCAGAGCCCTCCTTTCACATAAGAATCCCCCCTTTTTACATCAGGAGCCCCCCCTTTTACATCAGGAGCCCCCCCCCCTTTCACATAAGAATCCCCCCCTTCAACATCAGAATCCCCTCTGCCACAGCACCCTGGTTGTGAAAGGCTTCCCCAGGGCAGGTCATAACAGAGGGACCGTGTTCAGTAGTCCTCAGAGATAGCTGGGAAACAATGTAACTTATATTGTGTACAGCACCGACGAGAAAAAGAAGCTATCGGCTCACAATCATTCTGGCAGGATCAACGGGCATTTTTTGCACTTATCTAATATTTATCTGTCTATATAAAAACACTTTCAAATCGTATATTTAACAGACAAAAAATCAGGGTTTCCCAGACGTAGACATCAAACAATTTAGTGCACGATGATGTATCTTTCTAAAAACTCGCACCGTATATGATGTTGGCCCTTACCTTTCCCTCCTGTACCTTGTCCCCCTGGCTTGTTGTACAGGAACAGGTCCAGCTCGGGCAGGGTGCTGTGGTAATAATGCTACAAGAAATACAGTGAATTAGTATCAAATATTCTGGGTAATGCACCCGTGAGATACTACCTAGAGGCACAGACTAATTATACCAGTGGAGGAATGACATCTGATACCTTGGCACAAACACCATCCAGAGCCCCAGCACCTAGTACTGACCCAGCAAAGGCTATAACAACCGTCTTGCATTGCATTACTAATTGTTAAAGGAGAATTATGAGGGGAGGGATTTTCACTCAGCCTCATAATCTGAGCCAACCTGTGACAATGAGACTGTCAGTGGTCGGCTTAGTAGATCGGGAAGTGAGCGAACACATACCGTCGCTCGCTCACTTCTAGTTCATCTCCTTGCAGAGAGCCGTTACTGTCAGTCATGGCTCCCCCCCCTCCCCTCTCCGATCCTCCAGCGCTGACTGGAGGAACGGACGTGGGGAGGGGGCGGGCACAGCTAGTTCTGCCTCTTGATAGGCAGAGCCAGCTGTCAATCACGCAGCGTGGTTGATCCAGACAGTAATGTCTGGATCTGTCCCGGCTGCGGCGTCTCAGTATACCGCGAGCTGTAGATCGCGGTATACTGAGCTTTGAGTGACGGGAGGACGCTAGTTTGTGTTCTCTGTGACCCTTAGGAGAACTATGGGGAAAAGCCCTAACCCCACAGTTCTCCTTTAATTTATGGAAATTCTGTTAATATATAACCGTTAAGAATCAAAAACCTGGACTATCTTGTGCAATGCCGCATCTGTGCATCATTACAGCGCCCCCACCTGGAAGTGGTGTTCTCCATTGCTGTCTGTATATTTTGGCGTATGGAGGAAGATGAGCAGGTTCTGGCGTAAGTAGTAGGCCATAGCCTGGAGACACGGTAGAGAAGTCTGAGGGATGGTGAACAGCAGCACTTCTGTCGGTGGAGTTCCCCGGGGCTGGATGAACTGTAGAAGAAAGATAAGCAGGTTTGAACCTGACCTGGCCTTCAACTTTTTAGGGTAAAAAGAGTGATGAAGTACAGGGACTTTGTGGTGCATGCAAGTATTTGACTTCGCCTACAAATCCATCAAATCCATCTGTCCCTGTGGAGGCCACCTGAATCCTAGGTCTGGGCTATACATGGGGTTACCCGTCAATCTCAGCTTGGGCGGAAGTTGTGGCCCCATGTACAGTCCTGACCTAGAATCCAAGGGGCTTCACATAGACTTAAGCATCATGTGAAAAAGTAACACAGGTACATGCAGGCAATACAAGGTGCCACACTCCAGAACATTAAGTACTTACATAAAAAAAAGTACTTTTTAAGCCAGATCAAGTTCATGTTAAAGACAAACTATACATTTCATCAAACAATTCTTGTAATAAATCACATCTCTGGGCTTTGAGTGTGATATAGAACAGCACTAAATCCACATAAACTCAGTAGTTTTCAGTGAAGGTTCTGTAAATGCTCCAGCATACAAATACATTTTGGACAATTGTGTGCCTCCAGCCTTGTGGAAACAGTTTGGGGAAGGTCCTTTTCTGTTCAGGCATGACTGCGCCCCTGTGTACAAAGCCAACTCCATAAAGTCATGGTGTGACCAGCTTGGTGTGGAGAATGTCAAGTGGCCTGCACAAGGCCCTGACCTCAACCCTACTGAATACCTTTCGGGTGAATAGGAATAAAGCATGCGAGCCGGGTCTTCTCATCCCACGTCAGTACCTGACCTCACGGGCACAGATTCCACTAGACACCCCAAAATCCTGTGAAATGTCTTCTCAGAGGAGTGAGGAACGTTATAAACGCAAACGGAAGGGGAGGCATCTATATTAATGGGCACGGTTTTGGAATGGGATGTCCAACAAGCTCATATACACTGAGTGGCCAGATTATTATGACCCCCCCCATCAGTACTTGGTTGGGCCGCCTCGTGACTCCACGAGATGGTGAGAGGTGATGCGAGGAATCTGACACTGCACTGTTGCCCTTCTGTTGTCTTGTACCAGTCTTGCCCCTCCCCCGTTCTGCCCTAACATTGACTAGTCGCTGACGGCCACAATTCGCACGTTCAGACCCAGATTTTCGGCTGACAGTCCGGTCTTTAAACCCTTCAACAAAGTATATAATAATCCGGCCACTCAGTGTATATAATAATCCGGCCACTCAGTGTATATAATAATCCGGCCACTCAGTGTATATAATAATCCGGCCACTCAGTGTATATAATAATCCGGCCACTCAGTGTATATAATAATCCGGCCACTCAGTGTATATAATAATCCGGCCACTCAGTGTATATAATAATCCGGCCACTCGGTGTATATAATAATCCGGCCACTCAGTGTATGTCCACAAAGCTCTGAACATCTAGTGTTTTTGTTTGCGTCTGTCTGGGCATAAGGATCCTTTCATCATCTTATTCTAACTCTCTTCTCACCTCCACATCTGCTGGGGTCAGTTTACAATTCCTCTGCAGCATAACGGTGATGATGTCCAGCGTGGCCTCATCCAGACGCTTCCTGAGGACCTTCACCAAATCATCCGTGATCTCAGAGCCTACATAAAGGACAGAAGTGTCATTAAACCTCATCCAGCAAAGTCTATCTTCTGCACTCTGAATGACATTTCACAAAAGGACAGAGGAATAGTGGAAGACCACAGTCAGTAGAAATGATTGGCTCTTGTCCCATAAGTGCTGGAAGGTGGTGTCAGACTCATCACAAAATAGTTTTTAATGATACATACCTGCTTCTCCCACTCCATGCACCTGCAGTAAGATATGTTTGTCCATCTGCCCCACTGGCCTGGAGGAGTCAGAATTTCGAGAGGACAGGTCCAAAGACAGCCGGCTTCCCTATAAAACCAGGATGGAATGAAAATCAACCAATCAGAAGATGAACAGTCACGAAACCCAACAATTCAACGTCAACTAAACTCTAAAAAGTCGAAAGAGGCAAAGTTAAAACATTTCCTTACATGGCAACTGCATAATAACATATTTACCCTTCCACACAGGCTTACCTTATCTTGCATTTCGGTGAACTTGGCTGTGCCAACCCCAAGCATGGTCACCCAACGCTCAAGCAGGATCATTTGGTTTAGTTGTTGCTATAGTAGAAGCAATCTAAGCGCCGTCAATCCCGCAGAGCTTACGTTGCAGTTACTATGGCAACGCGCAAACTGATTTCGTACTAAAGAGCTGGGAGTGCTGCCAATCCCGAACCAATGCACCCAATGCTCTAGTGGGGAATCATTTGGTTTGCACGTTGCCATAGCCGCAACATGTAAACAAAATGATACCCCGCTAGGGTCCATTAGTGGCGCATGTGTTGTTGTTACTATGCCGACGTGCAAACTTAGTGACTTTCCACTAGATCCTTGGTCCTCAACTGCTGGGTCGTGACCCAAAAGTGGGTTGCGACCACGTGTTCAGTGGGTCGCTACCTGCTTTTCCCATTTCCAAGAGGCTCCTCAGCCTCTCCCTAGCGCAACACCAAAACCATTCAAAATATTCTGCCTGGTGCCGTGTCAGCTTGAGGTGGGGTGGGGTAAGGTGGGGTGAGGTTGGGTGGGGTGAGGTTGGGTGAGGTGGGGTGGGCTGGGGGAATGGGCTCGTGGGAGCTCCATCCATACGTGCATTGCTTGTACAGCTCCCTTTGCATGCCCTGTAGTGGTGCCTGGACCGTAGTGACGTCACATTCTGGCTCCCGACACCTCTATGGGGCCCGCGAGGGAGCTGCACAAGCAATGCACGTATGGATAGAGCTCCGTCACAGCACAGCAGCCCACACTGGACTCCAGACTAGAGGATCCACTCCAGTTCTCGTACATGCACACCCAATACATCCAACATCATTCTCTCTAGCCGATAAATGAGGCACAAAGCATCAAAGAAGTAAAAATAAAATAATGCAAAACGACATGCAATCTGGATAACCGAGAGGTCAAACAATGAGATTAAGCAATGTCAAGGAAGAGTCGGAAGGTCCGCTTTAATTACCTGACTGCTTACCATCAGATCTTCTGAGAAAATTGGCTCCTGACTACGAGACAGAGCCAAGGACCGAGACAACGACTGAGACAAATCCATGTCCCACAGCCGGCCGTTTCCAGAGGTCTCAGACAGCCTGTGAGTGGAGAGAAAGGAGTAATCCATTTAGACGTATAAGCACATTCTCACAGTTCTGAGTGCACGGAAGGACTTGTAATGCCCACAGCTAGGCCCGGCCAGAAGCATCAGAACACCATCACTATAAAAACACGCACCGGAGGTAGAAAACGGATTTGGTGGCACGCTCCTGATAGACGAACATGTTCTTTCTGTTGACTACGGAGAAAGCATTGAGCACGGAGCGCAAGGATTGGATAGCTGTAGAAAAAAAAAAAAGCCGTCAGGGTTTTCCTCTATAGGGATTGTGAAATGCTGACTTTCCTAGAGAATTATAGCCCTCTAGGCTCATTCACACCATAGCACGTTACTGCAATGTACTGTATATTGTGTGTGTTGCGGTTCATTGCCATTCATTCTTTAGGTGTATCTATAGGAAAAACTGATTTTGAATAGAGTAGGGAACGGTTAAAACTAGAGCTGCACCGATACCGAGTATCACCGGAGCTTATCGTGGAAGGTATCGGTGTCGTAGGGGAACATGGAGCCAGCGTCCCGTGCGATCAGGAAGCTTGGCGGTGAGTAATGACCTGCCTCCCGGACTCCTGATTCACCAGGAAGCCGGCTCCACGCTGACAGGCCGTGAAGCCGGCTTCCAGGCCAATCAGCATCGAGCCAGGTCCTTGCTGATTAGCTGGCCTCCTGGCCAATCAGCATCGAGCTGCCCGAACAGCTAGGTCCTTGCTGATTAGCTGGAATCAGCATGGAGCCAGCCTCCCGGCCAATCAGAAAGCCAGGAGGCGGGTCATTACTTGCCGCCCGGCTTCCTGATTGGCTGGGAAGCAAGCTCAATGCTAATTGGCTGGGAAGCCGGTTTCCCGGCCAATCGCAATCAAGCCAGCCAAACAACATGGAGCCGCCTTCCCGGGCAATCAGGAAGCCGTGCGGCATGTCATTACCCACCGCCCGGCTTCCTGATTGCCCGGGAAGCCGGCTCCATATCAGCGGAAGCACCGGTATCGGTACTGGCGAGTACTGAAAGCAAAGTATTGGTACTCGTACTCCATACTGAGAAAACGGTATGGATGCATCACTGGTTAAAACCTATCAAGTCTATTTTATTCTGTCCTTCCCTACACCATCGAAAAGAAAAGAAAAAAAGGTTTTGGCTACACATGGACTTTATACCTTTGGTGCAGTCCGACGTATGTTGTAGTGTCCCTCCCCAGTCTTACATTTATCTGTCGCAGATCCAATGAGCAAGTTGGCTTTGCAGCTTGTTAGGCCTAGCCAGGAAGACTCTGACAAGCTGTCTTGCTGCACTGGTTACAAGGGAGTATCTAACAATATTACACTTTAGATGCATTGCAATGCACATGTACCGTGTGCTATAGTGCACCACAAGGGACCGAGGTGAACGCTGAATTGTTAATAATAGTTCAGGACCTACAGTATCTTTCATGCATGGAAGTGCAACGGTAGCTACTGCCTCTCCCCTCCTACACTCCAGTGATGTTCTATCCCTTGGTGTCATCACATCCAATACACAGTGTATAGAAAGTGATGACCTACGGGTCCTTAAACTGCTGCAGTGGAGGGGGAGCGAGGCTGGAAGGACCGCTCTAAGAGCAAGCCGGCTCCAAGAACTTTTTTTATTGCCCTCCCTAGACTAAAACGAGCAGTTAAGCCTTGCGGTGTGGTGAGTAAGGGTTAATAAAAATTCTTCTTTAAACAGTAATAAACAATTTGATTCTTAAGATTTACCTCTGGAAACCCCCATATTGGGCCCCATTTTAAGGCGCGGGTGGATGTGTATAACGGTGCTCCATACTGTATCGCAGGCAAAGTGTCCCGGAATGAACTGCATGGTGGCTGCCAGGTAATCTCGCGGCTGGTAACTCTCTTCTCCAGGGAAATCTGCCGGCCCGTTAAAAGGATGACACAATCAAGAATCACAAGCCAGGAACACAAAGTCAATAATCAAATAAAAAATATATATTGTATGTCGTTCCTCTTATGTGGGCAATTCAAATCCAGGAGCCAAAAATTATAATTTCTTGCCTTCGTCTAGTACAAGAAGGCCTGTATGTGCTCTAACCAATCAGGGCTCCCGGAAGCCTCCAGCGACCTATTCTTTTAAAAAGCACCCTATGAATACCTTTATCTTTCAGTCTTCAGTTCGGTTTGGTGACGTCACTTGTCCGTCCTCAGTGCTGACATAATATTGTGAAAGTCAGAGTAGTAATTTGAGCCCAGGCTAAGTGATGACACACCGCGGGAGGTGTTCATGACAGCTGGGCTCACAGGAAGTGATTAGATGATGCTGACTGTCATTAAACCCCAAAAAATGGTGCATTCTAGTGCTGGAGAAGAAGTACAGCTCCGGATTAAAAAGGTATTGCTGCTACTTTTCTATTTTTACAGACACCAAGCAGCAGTTATCCTGGGTTTGCACACTGAGGAGAAGCATGCTGGGAAACACCTGCAAACTTGTCTGATAATATGAATGGAACTAAACTGTATTGAACGTGCACTTACCCTGTTTCACTGAGAATATTCAAACTGATACTTTTATATATCTTGTATAATTCTATCTCTCTTCCTAACGTAAAACTATCCCCAATCTATTTCTTTAGGTGCAGATACATTAAGCATGCCCCCTGATCACTCGCCCTCAGGACCTTTGGTCATGAAGGGTGTCAGTAAATGGGTTCCTTCTTTGATAACTGCTATACCTATGTTTTGAAGATGTTTCAGCTTAATCACCCACTAAACAGAGGTCTTGGCTGGCAGCATGCTGAGAATCCCCCATTTAGGGTTCTCTGGGATCAGCAGAAGAGGGGAATAGACTGATGGATTATACACTGAGTGGCCAGATTATTATGACCCCCCATCAGTACTTTGTTGGGCCGCCTGGTGACTCCACGAGATGGTGAAAGGCGATGCGAGGAACTTGGGTGAGTCAACCCCGCAGTTACAGCGTGAGAAAGAGGAGTCACTTGATCGCAAGTCAAGCTGAAAGAAGTATACTGTGTGCTCCATACTGGAATAGAGCATACCGTATACATCTTTAAGCTTGACTCACGATCAAGTGACTCCTTGATCAGAGCTGCAATTAGGAGGCTAATGAGAGACCAACTAAACTGTGTGCCAATACTGGAATGGAGCAAGCAGTTTCCTTCTTTCAGCTTGAATCGCGATCAAGTGACTCCTTTTCCGCCCGCTGTAACTGTGGGGTTGCAGCCCTACATACTGGAACGTAGGGTAGAGACCGGAAATGCTTCTGCTGGAGATGAGCAAAACTGAGATTTTTCATGTCCATGAAATTTTGGGGAATGTCAAGAAATTCCTGTGAAATTGGAGTCAATGATAATGGTGAAATTAAGGTGCCTTTTGTTTCTTTTTTAGGGTGCAATGTGCTTTAATAAACTCCTGAAGGTTGCCAAATCTCCTTTCCCTTTTTCCTGGACCTGCTCCGGTGCTGAAAGTTGGTCTCTCATTAGCCTCCTAATTGCACCTCTGATCAAGGAGTCACTTGATCGTGAGTCGAGCTGAAAGATGTATACGGTATGCTCTATTCCAGTATGGAGCATACAGTATACTTCTCCCAGCTTGACTCGTGATCAATTGTCTCCTCCTTCTCCCGCTATAACTGCGGGGTTGACTCAACCAAGAAATCCAAATAAACCAAGGAAGCCTGCAAATATAATCCATCAGTCTATTCCCCTCTCTTGCGGGTCCCAGAGAACCCAACATGGGGATTCTCAGCATTCTGCCAGCCAAGACCTCTGCTTGGTGGTTGGTTAAGCTATATGAAACATGTTCAAAACACAGGCATAGCAGTTTTCAAAGAAGGGATCCATTTCCTGACACCCCTCAGTGTCACCCAGGGATGAGCAAGACCAAAGGTCCTGAGGGCGAGTGATGAGGGGGGGGTCATGCAACCAGGAATAAATGTGAAAGATGTCACCAGCACACCAAAGATCCTTTTGGAATCACCATTGTCAGAATGGATACAAGCGCTTTCGGAACCTCGCAGGGTCCCTTCATCGGGCTTCAGCACCGACTGTCATCAGCCTGATGAAGGGACCCTGCGAGGTCCCGAAAAGCACTTGTATCCACTCTGACAACTTGTTCAATAAAATGAGCATTTGGTGATTCCAAAAGGATCTTCGGTGTGCTGGTGACATCTTTCACATTTATAATATTGTGAAAGTCGCAGAGTAGTATTGTGAGTCCAGGCTGAGTGATGACACGCTGCTGGGGGCGTGTTCACGACAGTTGGGCTCACAGGAAGTGAGAGGATGATGCTGACAAACCAAGAAATTCAGCTAAAACAAGCAAGCCTGCAAATATAATCCGTCAGTCTATTCCTCTGTCCTGCTGGTCCCAGAGAACCCTAAATGGGGATTCCCAGCATGCTGCCAGTCCAGACCTCTGTTTGGTGGTTGGTTAAGCTATGTGAAACATCTTCAAAACATAGGAATAGCAGTTATCAAAGAATGGACCCATTTATGGACACCCCTCAGGGATAAAAAAGAACAAAAGTCCTAAGGGCGAGTGATGGGGGGGCATGCTCCCAGAAGCCTACCCTTGATGTAGACCATGCCAAGGTTTATGTCTTGGATACCCCTTGCTGCACATACGTTATTTTTCACAAGAGATGAGCTTATTCGATCCTGCGACCCAGTCTCCGAACGAGGGAGATGTGCTCGAAACCCATCTCAGTACAACCATCCTACAGGCTGCCAATAAAGATCTCTTTACTGCCTGTTTATTATTTCTATTACTACAAACCTCGGTGTCGTCATCTCAGACTGAACATTACTGCCGGGGATTGGATCGAGCTCACACCTGCAGCTCTCAGTGTACTGGCCCCGGTCCAATGTTATACAGCATTTCTGGCTAATGAGATAATGATCACCTTCGCCCACAAGCATTCTCTGTCGGTACGTTGCATAAGGACTTTCGCTCTTCCAGATATCCTCCTCGCTCTCGGCCACCAGCAGCGTGTTACACAAGTGCGTGTCGTGAAGATCCTGCAGCAGCAGACGCTGGGGGGAGGGGGAGAGAAGCAAAGGATGAGCATTTTAAAAAAGAATTCTCTGCACCACCACGGTACCCAGACTAGGACATAATCATAGCGGAGACTTTTCTTATTGAAGTTATTTATACAAAACAGATGGTCCGCAGTACTTTACTGAGGACTATTCACATTGGTTCCGCATCCTGAATGAACTAACAATCTAAGGCTATTAACCCTTGCAGTGGGACTACCCTCGCCCTGCAAGGGTTAACTGCTCATAGTTGCCTAGGGTCAAAAACGTTGTACTCACCCGATCCAGCAGCACTCTCTCCAGCCCGTCTCCTCCCCCGCTGCAAGAATGTTATGTTCCACGGTGTCCTCGTCTCTATTCATTCTGAGCCAGCCAGCTCGGAAACTTAGGTGAATATAACTTTTTTTTTACACTAGGCAAAAACGAGCAGCCAATGGGTAGCCCCACAGCAAGGGTTAATAAAATGTCTGCACAGAGTTCTTCTTTAAAGGAGAACTATGGGGTTAGTGTTTTTCCCCATAGTTCTCCTTAGGGTAACGGGAGGACACAAACTAGCAAGCTACAGCTCGCGGTATACTGAGACGCCGCAGCCGGAGCGGATCCCGACATCGATGTCGAGATCCGCCCAGCTGCGTGAGTGACAGCTGGCTCTGCCTATCTAGAGGCAGAGCCAGCTGTACCCGCCCCTTCCCCCGTCCGTTCCTCCAGTCAGCGCTGGCGGATCGGAGCGGGAAGGGGGAATCCAGCCCCTCCCCTGTCACGACAGGATCGAGAGGTGAGCGAACGCCGGTATATAATCGCTCACCTCCCGATCTACTGAGCCGACCTGTGACAGTCTCATTGTCACAGGTCGGCTATAACTATGAGGGGAGTGAAAAGCACTCCCCTCATAGTTCTCCTTTAAATAGCAAGGTCTGCTTACACTGTCCGGGCCTCCACCTTCACAAAACACCTTGTTAGTAGGAGTAAAATGGACCTGCAAGGAAAAAAGTTAGATTTATACTTAACTCACCTTGGAAGATGGGGGTACATTTTACACCCACCAACAGTAAGTGATTTGAAAAGGGAGCGGGGCCTGGGAAGTTTGGGCGGACCTTGCATTTTATTGAAATGTTCCTTGGGGAATTTTGGTCCAGACGGACTCATACATACACTATATTGCTAAAAGTATTGGGACACCCCACCCATGGCCCCCGGTGTATAGGATGACGCACCTCGGCATGCAGACGCTTCTACAGACATTGGTGAAAGAAAGGGTCGCTCTCAGGAGCTCAGTGACTACAAGCGTGGTACCGTGATAGGTTGTCACCTGCGCAATAAGTCCATCCGTGACATTTACTGGCTACTAAATATTCCGCGGTCACCTGTTACTGGGATTATAACAAAGTGGAAGCAACTGGGAACAACAGCAACTCAGCCAGGAAGTGGTCGGCCACGTCACATGACAGAGCGGGGTCAGCGCATGCTGAAGCGCACAGTGCGCAGAAGTCGCCAACTGTCTGCAGAGTCAATAGCTACAGACCTCCCAAACTTCGCGTGGCCACATTTTAACAAAGTGCTCATTGGAAGATTTCGTTTTTTTGCCCTTTTCTTTATAAACACAGCACTTTTACCATTCTAGTCTTTGATCAAACAACAACTGAGCACGTTGACCATGTCCGCAGCACGCTGTATGTACCGAGTTGCAGCCACATGGGTCCTGTTAACGAGCGGGCGTACCCAATTAAAGCGAGTGTATAAACGGCGAGCTATATAAAAAAGGCACCGAAATCTAAATGACAGGATTTGTACAAGAAAAACAGCACACAAAAATCGGGAGGGAGAGAGAATGAGAAGTAAGGGAAGAGAAGGTTGTTTATTTCATTGCCGTCTAGAGTGCAGTAAAGATTCTGATTGAGTACAATGCTTAGCGATGGAGAAATATGACATTTAATAACCGCGATTACACTACTCCCTCCATCAACATCGACGCCACAAATCCTCTCCCCTAAAGGAATCGCGCTGCTGAAATACGGACGGGATTTATACGCACAGGAAGGGTTCTTTTTTCAGGCGAAGCGGCCATTATAATCTTTATGCTTCCGTCTCGCCTTAAATTATTTAACATTGATGGTAAGCAGGTTTTTTCTGCTGGGGCTTTGTGCATCCGTAATAAGCCGCCAGCGTGCGAGGTTTCCTCTGATATATGGCAGCAACGGCGCTATCTCGTTTTCCGCTTATGGCGGTTTAATGCCCGGTACAAAAGTTTAAGTGTAACAATTTGTAGGAGCGCATTTGTATTTTAACGCTGCCGGGTGACGGATGACGGCACCGGCTGGATTTAGGGAAAAACGCGGTAGCTCTAAACAGGGGAGCTGCAAAAGTGACGACCTAGAAAACGGATCGGAGCAAAAGGAATGGCTCTTAAAGTGGACACGGGATTAAAATAACACCCCGCTGCCCTCATGGCTGCCCTACATTCGAGTACTCTAAAAGGGGGCAGAAGGGCGGTAGTGAGGTAGGGCCAGTAAGAAGAACCACGGCAGCCAATGAGTAACGCATCCAAAGCTTCGTGTCTCTAGTCTACACACCCGGAAGTGTCGGATAGAAGCAGCGCCTGGAGCTCTGAATTATCTACTCGCGGCTCACCAGACTGGTAAGTATGAAATGTATTCTTTAAAGTGACATTAAACCCTCAGATTTTTTTAACATAAAACAATAGTGTAATGTGCGCCTTACTGTAATCCATGGTAGTTTCCCTTCTCTTTGCTGCTCTTCCTTTTAAATCTGAGTCTGTTCTCATGGTGGGTAGAACTTCCGTTTTGCAGCAGACTGCCTTGTCTCTGGAATGGATACATGGTGTCTGTGTGTAGGTTCACAACCTGAGCCAGCACTACAGGAAGAGGCACTCAGCTGCAAAGGGAAGTTCTCCCCAAGCATGAGAAGACGTCACATCGCGCATGTGCGGCCATCTGATTGACGCCTGCAGGCGGCCATCTTAGTGATGGACGCCGGCAGAAAGAGGAGGGGACGTTCACCCGGCAGGATGAAGTATGCCGCAGGTCCCCTCATCTCTCCTGACACTGTCGGGCTCTCGGTCTGTGACCGAGTGCCGGTCTTTTTAGTGGGGGTGACACCAAAAGGACAGTCATTTTGGTGTCACCTGGGTGCGAGCCGCACCCCCCGCGTGACGCCACTGGCTGATTCCACCTTGTGCAGTGATCAGATGCCTAGGCTTTGTAGGCATAGCCCCCCAATATCAAGAAGTGCAATGGCATCCCTACATTAAGTAGGCCTGAGCTCCATAATGTATTATGTTATAGGAAACATCTAGAAATGCTGCAGTGAGATCACCTAAGGCACTGCTGTCTCTGACTGTCTTAGCAGATTTGAAGTTAGATTTGGTGATGTCATTACTGTGCTGCTCACTCTTTTCCTTGCTGGAGGGAAAGCTGTACCTAAGGGACTTACAGTGCAAGAATCTCCCTGCTTCTGCTCAGGGACGTCCCGAGACTGGGTGACACCCAGAGCGGTAACCGAGTGTCACCCCGCCGAGACGTCACTGCGCATGCGCGGCAGTATTCTGATACCTGCCGGCGGCCATCTTGGTGATGGACGCCCGCAGAGAGAGGAGGGAACAGTCACCCGGCGGGATAAGGTATGCCGCCGGGTACTCTCCTCTCTCCTGATACTGTCGGGCGTTCAGTCCATGACCGAGCGCCCGACTTTTCAGAGGGGGGTGACACCAAAATGACTGTGAGTCATTTTGGTGTCACCCCTCCAATGGTGGCACCCGGGTGCGGGGCGCACCCCCAGCACCCCCCTTGTGACGCCACTGTTTCTGCTACATTGTGTGGATCTGTGCTTCCTTCAACAACCCTGCTGCTTCCTGAATATCATCCTACCAGTTATCAGAGGGGAGCTCTGACATAAGGAAGTAAAGCTTGCCTCTACCAAGATGGCCGCCTCCACACAGACACACCATGCAGGACAAGGAATGGTACAGCAGTAATGGTGAAAAGGTCAGCTACAAGGGGATCACATGCAATACTGGTGACTAGGTGCCTGCCTTTTCCTGAGTTCAGCTTCCAGAGATTGTCAGTGTTACACTAATAATTCATTCATTCTGGATGCAGCCATGCTGAACACGTCTGCAGGATCCAGAGCTCTTCTATTAGAGTTGGTCATTTAAAGTGAAACTGCCACCGGAATACACTTTTGTTTCTAAAAGTGCCTGCTGCAGAGATAGTTCTTCTATCTGACCTCCATCCTTCCCTTCAGTCTTCTATCTGCCCTCCGTCCTTCCCTTCAGTCTTCTATCTGACCTCCGTCCTTCCCTTCCGTCTTCTATCTGACCTCCGTCCTTCCCTTCAGTCTTCTATCTGCCCTCCGTCCTTCCCTTCAGTCTTCTATCTGACCTCCGTCCTTCCCTTCCGTCTTCTATCTGACCTCCGTCCTTCCCTTCAGTCTTCTATCTGCCCTCCGTCCTTCCCTTCAGTCTTCTATCTGACCTCCGTCCTTCCCTTCCGTCTTCTATCTGACCTCCGTCCTTCCCTTCAGTCTTCTATCTGCCCTCCGTCCTTCCCTTCAGTCTTCTATCTGACCTCCGTCCTTCCCTTCCGTCTTCTATCTGACCTCCGTCCTTCCCTTCAGTCTTCTATCTGCCCTCCGTCCTTCCCTTCAGTCTTCTATCTGACCTCCGTCCTTCCCTTCCGTCTTCTATCTGACCTCCGTCCTTCCCTTCAGTCTTCTATCTGCCCTCCGTCCTTCCCTTCAGTCTTCTATCTGACCTCCGTCCTTCCCTTCCGTCTTCTATCTGACCTCCGTCCTTCCCTTCAGTCTTCTATCTGCCCTCCGTCCTTCCCTTCAGTCTTCTATCTGACCTCCGTCCTTCCCTTCCGTCTTCTATCTGACCTCCGTCCTTCCCTTCAGTCTTCTATCTGCCCTCCGTCCTTCCCTTCAGTCTTCTATCTGACCTCCGTCCTTCCCTTCCGTCTTCTATCTGACCTCCGTCCTTCCCTTCAGTCTTCTATCTGCCCTCCGTCCTTCCCTTCAGTCTTCTATCTGACCTCCGTCCTTCCCTTCCGTCTTCTATCTGACCTCCGTCCTTCCCTTCAGTCTTCTATCTGCCCTCCGTCCTTCCCTTCAGTCTTCTATCTGACCTCCGTCCTTCCCTTCCGTCTTCTATCTGACCTCCGTCCTTCCCTTCAGTCTTCTATCTGCCCTCCGTCCTTCCCTTCAGTCTTCTATCTGACCTCCGTCCTTCCCTTCCGTCTTCTATCTGACCTCCGTCCTTCCCTTCAGTCTTCTATCTGCCCTCCGTCCTTCCCTTCAGTCTTCTATCTGACCTCCGTCCTTCCCTTCCGTCTTCTATCTGACCTCCGTCCTTCCCTTCAGTCTTCTATCTGCCCTCCGTCCTTCCCTTCAGTCTTCTATCTGACCTCCGTCCTTCCCTTCCGTCTTCTATCTGACCTCCGTCCTTCCCTTCAGTCTTCTATCTGCCCTCCGTCCTTCCCTTCAGTCTTCTATCTGACCTCCGTCCTTCCCTTCCGTCTTCTATCTGACCTCCGTCCTTCCCTTCAGTCTTCTATCTGCCCTCCGTCCTTCCCTTCAGTCTTCTATCTGACCTCCGTCCTTCCCTTCCGTCTTCTATCTGACCTCCGTCCTTCCCTTCAGTCTTCTATCTGCCCTCCGTCCTTCCCTTCAGTCTTCTATCTGACCTCCGTCCTTCCCTTCCGTCTTCTATCTGACCTCCGTCCTTCCCTTCAGTCTTCTATCTGCCCTCCGTCCTTCCCTTCAGTCTTCTATCTGACCTCCGTCCTTCCCTTCCGTCTTCTATCTGACCTCCGTCCTTCCCTTCAGTCTTCTATCTGACCTCCGTCCTTCCCTTCAGTCTTGCACAGTTGTACCGACTCCTCTTCCTCCGATGTCACTGCACACCGGGAGCGTCTCACAATGCGCATTAGAAGCTGCAGCAAGTCAGATAGAGCCCGCCTCATTTACTGGCTGGAGGACGTCCAACGTCATCCAGCTTTTTCCTCCCCTGACTGTCCCTGGCCCTCCCCTTTCATTCACTGCAGTTCCTTCAAAAATAGGGGCTCAGCAACACATATGGGGGATACCTTGGGCAGTCTGCGTGCAAATATAGTCTTCCCAGAAACTCCCACTCCTCCAGACTGACACCTCCTCATCAAGGCATTTTGATATTTGCACAACTCCTCTCAAGATTAGGTCCACTCAGAGCAGCCATCAGAAATTTTGGGGCCCCTTACACGGCTTTAGTGACGTGCTGGACACAGAACCCACCTGAGAGTGACCCTGCAGAGCCCACCATAGATGCTGCACAGCCCATCTGAGACTGTCTATGGTGGGCTCTGAAGGGGTCTCAGGTGGGCTGGTCAGGGCTGCATCCCTCCCCTCCCTCCTTCCTTCCCAGCTCCTCTTACCTTCACACATGGCCTTGTCTGGCGCCGGACATGCCAGAAATGACGTCACTTCCGACCAGTCCGACATCAGACGAGCAGCATTGCTGATGGGGCCCCAGCTTGTCTCAAAGCCGCTGGAGCGGCAATGCTGGGGCCCTGCGCTGCTAGGGCCAGGCTTCAGCCTCCTCGCCCTTCACTGTCGGCCGATAGTCATGTAAGGCACCCGGGCAGGCCCCTTACATGAGTATCGGCCGTACCCCCCTGATGGCTGCCCTGGGTCCACTGCTTGCATTACTGAGGCAGGGTGCTGATGTTTTCAGGGAGCTATGTACAGCACCCTGCCATCCCCTCCCACCAGACCATGATCTGCCTGCGTTGCACAGAGAAGCCAAAAACATTCAATTTTCCACTGCAGGTTGCTTAATAAAGTCAGTAATCATTTAAAATATGAAAGCATATGCTACAATGTCTCACAATGTCCTACAACATGGAGATCCGATATCCCGATCAGCCTCACAATGACATAATCCACCCATGACGTCACCCAGACACAAGCTCATCCCAGTTCACTGCCTCGGTTTGTTTTGGGAATAAAATAAATGATAACAATGGATGAGTTACCTGGTTCACCACACGGCAGATCTCGCTCACTTTCCTGACCACCAGTTGGTGCAGTCTCTGGCTCTCTCCAAGCTCCTCCACCTCCTGGGCCACCCCAACACTGTCAGGAAGAAGGGACAGACTTGAGTTTGCAGACCACAGACAAATGCACGAAAGCTAAATCCGCTCTGCAACTGTCCCCCCTACATGCATATCTGGTCATAAAAGTATAGACGCATTTATAAATGTACCTGGCATGGGTGCACACTTCCACCCGGTCCTGGTGAATCTTTACAATGAGCCAAAATCTAGGCATCACTGGGCAGCGGGAATCCTGCTCACTAATCAGGGCGTCCTCGCACTCCGAGTCGCTGCTGCCTGCATCATACCCTGCGTGATACAAAATAACAGCTCGGCATAAAAGCACGTACATTGAAAAGCAAATATAGTACAGCAAAGCCGAGCGATCTACTTAACAGAGAACCATGGGCCCAGTGTTTCTCCCCGTAGTTCTCTTAAGGGTCACAGTACATATAGCAGCGTCCTCCCGTGACCCAAAGCTCAGTATATCGCGAGCTACAGCTCGCAGTATACTAAGACCGCCGCAGCCGGGAAGGATTCTGACATTACTGTCGAGATCCACCCAGCTGCATGAGTGACAGCTGGCTCTGCCTATCTAGAGGCAGAGCCAGCTGTGCCCGCCCCCTCCCCGTCCATTCCGCCAGTCAGCGCTGGAAGATCGGAGTGGGGAGGGGGGGGGGATTCTGTGCAGGGAGCCGTGAGTGACAGTCACGGCTCTCTGCAGGGACATGATCGAGAAGTGAGCGAGCGCCGGTATGTGTTCGTTCACTTCCTGATCTTTAGAGCCGACCTGTGACAGTTTCATTGTCACACGTCGGCTCGAACTATGAAGGCGAGTGATTTTCACTCACCTCATAGTTCTCCTTTAAGTCCAGAGGAGCAAACCCTTATACAGGAAAAGATGGACAAAATGTTTTTCACTCAAAGATAGTTTGACTATTGTAATCTTAACCAACGCGTTTCGGCTTTTGCTATAACCCCTTCACATGGTTTTAAACAATATATGAATAAAGGACAATTTCAGAATCACACCTTTTATCAATCATATTTATAGACTGTTCTATTGTACTGTGTTAGCCTTCGATTAATAAGAAAGTTTGAGTTGATCTCAAGATTATAGTACTGATGGAGAACTTAAAAATCACAGAAAAGGAGAGGCTGTAAAAAAAAAAAAAATCGAGACTGTGGTCTAAATAGGGAAAATAATCTTACGTGCCACCATAGCTAGCAGTAGTTAGTCACAATCAACTGCACTTGTTCTGTAATGTTGCAGATTTTTAAAAGCTTACCCAAGCCACGTCTTCAGTTCTGATAATTGTCAGCATTTAAATCCACACAGGTGGCACAGACACCTTCATCCAATCGCCACAAAGTGTGTAGATGGTGATTGTCCAAGAACAGGACGGGAAGTGTGAAATTTGAAGCACTTCAAAATGCGTCTATTTATTGACGTAAATGCAGCAAATCCCATTCACGGGATCACATCGCATGTCTTGCCTGAGGAAGGGGATCCTGCGAGACTGCGAAACGTTGCACTGAATGTGATTTGCTGCATTTACGTCAATAGACGCATTTTGGGGTGCCGGTGTCCATACTTCTCTCTCTGCATTGTGTGTGATCACACCGAGGGACCGCCACAACCCGGAGCACCAGGGAGAACAGGAGAGTGCCGGAGCAGGGGGTGAGGTGAGTAATGTCTCCTCTCGGTGTAACCTCTAGACCTAATGGGCATTTATTAGCCGCGTGCCCACAGCTGGCCAATTCAAGGTGTCAGTCAACCTCTAAACCTTCAATATATGGTTCTGTGTATGATTTGCCCAGAGCCCCAAAGAAGGGGATGTAATAAAAACCTAAAATTAATTGGCTAAGATTGCAACCATCAAATAAAGGATCTTTGTATAAGAACTGTGAATCCATCTGTATCTGTCCGAGGCTTGGCCCCTCTGGACTGCAAAAGAATAATAGCTTTTTGCTGTATCATAGTAGTACATAAGACACTCGTTCAGACCTGGCTCACCTAAGTGGTCAGAGTCCATGCTGCCATGACTTGACACCAGGCTCTGCACACGACTGGGACGCTGCCGCAATCCTGCTGGGATAAAAAAAAAAAAAAAGAATACAGCTTTATAGACATAGATACACACAGCAGCAAAGTCAATAATCTAACTGGATTTGTTAAACGTGCACAGATCAGGATCTGCAAACCTCTGGATGAAATGCTGCTCCAGGATCCCATGGCAGCTGAACATGTGACTTACAGGTGAAACTCGAATAATTAGAATATCGTGCAAAAGTAATGGCAGTAAGTGCTGCAAAAGGGGCCCAAACCAAGTATTGAGTACATATGCATGCTTGTACTTTTCAGAGGTCCGATATTGTTCTATGTACAATCCTTGTTTTATTGATTGCATGTAATAATCTACTTTTTTGAGGTTGTGGATTTGGGGTTCTTGGGGTTTTCATGAGCTGTAAGCCATAATCATCACAATGATGACAAATCACGGCTTGAGCTATCTTGCTTTGCATGTAATGAGTCTCTCTCATATATTAGTTTCACCGCATAAGTTGCATTAGTGAAATAAATGAACTCTGCACGATATTCTAATTATTTGAGTTTCACCTGTAATACTTGGTCATCTGATCTTTGCTGCATTATTCAAGTGGGCAGATCCCACTCTTCAGCGGAGTTTATGTTATTAATCCCCCCCCTCCCCCCCACAAAATCGTTGATTAATTTTAAAGGACATGTAAAGGTTTAGAAGGAGTAGGAAAGGATTAA